AGACGCGATAATTAGAATATATTTATAACATAAATAAATTTAAATAATAAATTATTTATTATAATTTTTAAAAATATTTTTATATAGAAGAAGTTAAGGCCGGTTTTTGAATAATGATGTTTAGAAAAAAGAAGATATAAGATTTTGAGATACTATATGCCTACATCCCTTAAGCATTTTAAAAAAATATTATTCTTGAATACATTATTATACAAATAATTTATTTAATTTTAAATAAAGCTGAGAAAATGTGACAATTAGTCCCGTACTCAGGATTGATTGTCACACATTCCAGGGTTGACAGTAACATATTTTTTAAGAATAAAACATACAAAAAATACAATTTTTATTTTAATGCTAATTCTATATATTAAGAAATAATATATATATATATATATATTAAGAAATAGTAATTATATTATTGATACAAATAAAATAGTTATTTTAATCATAATATGCGTAATTTGTTTTTGTATTATAGTTTCTATACGAAAAATGAAAAAACATATACGTCTATATAATATTATATTTGTAAACATATTTTCTAAAAACATGTCGATCTAAAGAGATTATAATTGATTATCATCTAATCCGAGCTCATTTTGGTCGATCTACATGGTTGTTTTTAGTAAACGAGATTGTATTCATTTTTGTCAGAATAATGATTAATTAACCGCGGTAAAAATATTCTAAAACATGCCATTTTCTATGATTACAGGAAAATCGCGATTGATAATGTCAAAAATTTATCAGACAACAAAATAAGAGATAAAAAAAATTTATTCATTAACTTTATGTTCTTAAAAGTCGTTGTAAATGATATACATAACGCTTTTGGATGCAAAGCATTTTATACAATAAATTAATATTTAATTAATAAACAATATTAAAGATTCTTAATATTGTTTAAATTAATATTAATATATCAGTAAACTAGTAAAAAAGAGATTTTTCTACTATGTATTGAATTATAAGCATGACTTTGACAATTAACTCCGTATGGCAACCAGCCTCGGACTTTCTTAAGTATTAAACATCATAGACATGTGCTATGCGTTCTACTTATTGTTAGATTTTTATTTTCTACAAAGAACAAGTATAATTATATACAAATAAATTATAAACATTAAATAATAACGATTATTTAATATTTGTGAACTATCGAAATATGATTCTGCACAGACAATTACTTTCGCAGCACAAAGTAAGCAAAGTGAGAGAATTAGCATCGCGAAAAAGATATAACAATTATATGTCTTATAAGTCTTTATTAATTAAAGCGAACAAACTATATGCATAATTTATTAGTACTGTGATACTGAAAAGACGTTTTGGAACATACGTACAAAAAATATGTAATATTATATTCTATATTTTTATATTTATAGAAAATATTTTAATATTATTACGATTGAAACATATATAGATGTTTAGAATATTTAAATATTAATATTAACCCTTGAACACCACACTGGGTTATGGTAACCCAATCCGTTTGAAAAAACAACGATTTTTTTTTAATTTTGAAAAATTTCTTTCTTCTTTTTTTTAAAATATCTTGGTTATCGGAAATTTTATGATATTCTTATCTATATACTCTTTTTCCTTATACTGTCTGTTGTATCGATTAAAAAAAAAAAGTTAAAATTGATGCATTAGATCCCAGGATAAAAGCAAAAGAAGACTCCAGGGTTACCGTAACCCATGTTTGGTGAAATCAGGTGGCGAAAATAGTGTGATGTTTAAGGGTTAACTCTTCTTCCGTTTTTTTAAGCGTGCGTATATACATATACATTCATTGTCAGAGAAAAACATAATGGCAACTATAAAAGTATGTATATTATATAAGTATGTGTCTTATGTAGAATGAGTGTATGTACATAGTTAAATAAATTAATGCACACCGTTGAATAAACTATTTTGCAGTTGCGATAACTATATAAAATAATTTATTCAACTATGTACATTAATTTTACATATAAAGCTTTCATAGTTGCCATCATTTATGTCTTTTTCTCTGAGTGTAGGCTTTTTTCAAATATATATAATACTCATACATATATTGTGATTATTTATTCGAAAGAGAGCAAAGAAGAATGCATTGCAATTTTTGGATGCTACATTGCATGTTACATATACCGACATGAGAATATATACCGACGCGAGATATAAATGTTGTAGATCTAAGTATATCGTATTTCCAATTTCACTTCTGTCATAGAGAGAGAAGAGATGAATACGCAAATACGTAAAGATGGCCACGAGGGGCGAGACGCTTTGATATATCGGAACATCTAGAAAACAGGATGAGTCATAGTAAGCACAATAAAACTTGCTCGACTTTATCTGGCCTACCATCCTACTACCGCTTGTCGATTATAAACTGCTAGACGATCGCAGCAAACGACGTAAGCATTGTCGATTTTGCTGGCGCATGTAAATCGACAGACACCGAAAAAATTGTAAAAAATCCGACCAAAGTGGAAAAGAGGAAGAGCACGAAGAAAATGGGGAAAGCGATGAAAAAATTGTTGACGCCTATCGTTGCGCCGACATTTCGGAATGAACAATCACGGTAGGCATGAGCTTTTGCGGAAATTTGATTAAAAATACCCATAAAGCTAGACTAGTAATATCGACCTGACAATTTATTTGGATTTTGCAAAGAGATAGCTTCGTTATACATTACGTATATATTATGTATAGGTATATTATGTTTAAAAAGATGAAATTATTTTATAAAAGTGAATAAGCTGTATCCTTTAATATGTAATGTTCTTTAAAATAATTCTTTGTTAATAATTAAGACATGTGAAATATTGGAAAGAAACTCAAAATCATAAATATTTAAATAATCATGTAAAAAACTAGACATTATGACAAAACTACCTTTATATAAATATTTTATTTGCAAGATTGCACTTAATACAAATTACGTATGTACATATTTCTTTAATCTTTAAACAGATCAATTTAAATAATATAAAGATAATAAAGTCAGAAATATTATTTTAGAAAAAACAAATTTAGTAATAATAATAATAATAATAACAACAACAATAATAATGTATCGGTGAAATCTCATATACATCATTAGATCACAAAGTCTGCGGACGACCAGTCGATTCCATCTCCGTTTGTACTCCTTTTGTTCGACGTTCGCCCATGAATTTCAACCCTCATCCAGTCTTTACTGCCCATCTCTCTGCTTTTCGGAACTCGGTGAAGCGGGTGGAGGGACGCAGATAACGGTTTTAATTCCGTACGAATAGATCGACGTGCGAAAAAACGGCAGGGAGAATCGTCAGAGAGGCGGATTGATGGACTGCCGGGAACAATGGTTAACTTCGGAAGTAATCGCTTAATTCCTGAATTTTAGCTAGCTCCTACTGTTACCAGCTCCTCTGGTTAAATCCCGTATTGCACACTTTCCGGAACCTTGCTGTTTTCTTTTCTTTTTAACTTATTTTATTATGCATAAGAACGTATAATATTCTTTAATCCTCTCATGCACAGATTATATCTTCTCTTAGGACAAAAATTAAACAAAATACTAAGTATTTAATATGTATTATTATTACCAATACGTGATTCTGCTTTTGTTATCTGATGTTAATTCAGGAAAAACTCTATAAGCATACAATATTCCTAGAATGTTATATGAATATTATTTATCATTTTTAATATTCACATATAACTTTCTAAGAATATCGTGTCTTATAAAGAATTCTATTTATGTTAATTTTTCTTAATCTTACAAAAAAACAAGGTTCATAAATTTCATAAATTTAATAATAAAATGCAACGTATCTGCACATACATATAATAGCAACAACATTTTATCTGTAGATTTTTTGTGAATAATTTAAGCTAATGAGCGTAATGACAATGATTTCCTATGACAGGTCGGTACGAGTTCTTTTTTTTTAATCGGCCTGACGAAGTTCCTCATACGTGGCAATAAAAAGGTCCGCTCAAACTGAAGTAGAACGATATAAACAATAGCACCCAGCACAGTAAACAGCCGCTTTGTCGCTCGGTTCTTTTGCCGTGATAAAACTTTTGTCGCGGTGGCACACTTGCGAGAAACTTTTCCGAGTTATCGACAAAGGAAGGAAACGGTTTGTTCTATTTTCATTTCGTTACTGGACGATGGTGTTTTAAAATTAATTTATTAAGTTAACCGAATAATTAAAGACAGTTGTCGAATCAAGTTATAGAAATACAATGAGTTGTAACATTATAACATCTCTATAATAGATACATTTAATATTACAAAAAATAATTTGAAAAATTATGCAACCGGTTATTGCGCGAGGGATTTATAAAGTGCGCAATGTATTTTCTTGATTGTTATTTCAATTTTCAAAGACAACTTTAACGGGAAATTAAGATTTCGATGTACATATATTGCAATACAATATAATTTCACACGCACGCACGCACGCACGCACGCACGCACGCACGCACCTACATATATATTATTCAATAAATTATAAATATATACATTTAAATGAATTAATTTCAGAAATGATAATTGTGTGCCGATATGGTTGTCGGACTTTCAACGCAATCAAATTTGAAAATATTAATAATCCCCCCAAATTCCCTAACTTAAAAACTGTAATAAAACTGTCTCGGTAGTCTAAAGGCTTAGGACGCTCGAACGGATGCAAGAGATCCGGGTTCGACTCCCGGCCGAGGCATTATTTTTCGCAATAAGTTTTATTACAGTTTTTAAGTTGGGGAATTTGGGGGAATTATTAATATTTTCAGATTTGATTGCGTTGAAAGTCCGACAACCATATCGGCACGCAATTATCATTTCTGAAATTAATTCATTTAAATGAATTTACAATAGTTCAACATCTTAACGTTCTGACCGTTATGGTGCTTCTTAATTTAAAATTATTATGTTTAACATTAGCGGTCTTTCAATCTTATTATTATAAATATATACTTATGTAAAATTATACGAATATATCTAACTGTATACTTACGAGCTCTGTATCTATGCCAGCACCGTCCCGGATGTTTTCATGATCGACACCAGCACCATTGACCATTCCAGCGCTTGAACCGGTACCGCTCGCACTTGCTTTTCCACCAGCACTACCAGCTGGTGTTTGTGGTAAGCTCTGAAAAGTGAAGAGATTTATTTTTCAACGATACTGAAAAATGTCAATATTGAACAATATCGAAAATTTGTTAGATGTGTCATTTATGTTATCGCAGCAAGTAAGATAAAAGTTATGATATATACTCAAAATATAAATATTATTTGTTATGTGTTGTATAATCATTTGAAAATGACTGCTGCAACGAACGATCTATCAAATTTATGCCATTAGAAGCTCAATAACGCAACAGTGCCCCATTTGTTTCCCGCCAAAATCCGTGCTGAAATCTCATCTCAATTTCACTTCAACGGGATCCTTTCTTTTATTCGTAACATCTTGAAGCTTTTCTCAAACTCTTCCTTGCGGCGTTCTATAGGAAACGAAGCTGCGCCTTGCCACGAGTGCTGGCTTTTACGAGGAGGATTAGATGGTGTAAAGGATGGTGGTAAAGGGAAATTCCGTCGAATGTATTTGCCTCGATTGTCCTGGTCGAAGCGAGAAGAATAGTCGCCAAGACAAAACAATTTGTATGTACTGGGAAAATGTGCGCGCGCGACAACATTATGTAGGGACTTTGCCTATTCCACATTAATGGAAGTCTCGCTACTCGGCAACGGTTTTCTCAACGAAAGGATTACGACACGGTCTTTAAATCAATTTCGCCAACGTGATAGAACTCTTCGAGTTTCCGACATCAGGATTGATCGCCTGCCATCCATGTCCTGCATAAGGCCGAAACATCGCGAAAACTTTCACGTAGCATCCAGTCGATGCAAGTTCTCAGTGACAAGCAATAATTTTTGAATAATCTACCCAATACGTCTCACGAGGCAAAGTATACGATATTGTTTTGTAAGTAAGATTGATTGATTTTTTTTTAAACCGCATCTATCTACTCAAAAATTCTACTCAAAAAAAGTTTAAATGTTAAGGTACACATTGGGACAGGAGTGCCTACTCATGCCTTTTCATGCCTTCTCATTTTTTCTCATGCCTTCTTCTCATTCCTTCTTATGCCTTCTCTGATACGCGTGCAACTTCAGATGGGTAGGTATTCCTACCCCTGAGTGTACCTACAACTCTCAATTTTTCAAAACGGATTTGGATTATCGATTTATAACGTATATATACAGGGTGTCCCGTAAGTTTTTGCCAATCGCTTTTGTATAGATAGAGCGGACTAAACTGAGTTAAAAAGTTCTACTATTTTGCAATTTTCGCAATAGTTAACAAGATATTAATTACTAAAAATTGCCGAATATTGGTCTTCAATAATTTTTTACACAAATGTTATCAACTTTACAGAAAAACTGCAACAGGCAAAAATTATTAATTTTCTTCTCATAGAACTCTAAAAATTTTTTTAGAATTTTTTATCAACTTTTTAGTATTGCATTTTCTTATTTTTACCAACATGAGAAAATACGGTATTAAAAAATTCTGAAAAAATTTTGAAAAAATGTACCTCTTATTTTCATTTTTACGTAAAAATGAATTTTTAGTGCAAAAATGAAAATAAGAGGAATAATCTCCAATGGCCTTGATCTTGACAAATGTTATCCAAGACATGATCCTGAACAACATTCAAAAGATTTTAGCCGTCGATCGGATAACTTGCGTAATGCTAACTGTACGCCGACTGTACTGTAACTTTCGAGCCTTATACCATAATTCGAAAAATACTTAATGAAAAAATATTTTATTATAGTGTTTTGAAGAGCTCTCGAGAGATTTAAAAGAATCGACGTGATCTTGACCTGGCCTTGACGACGCCACCCAAGCTCAAATCAATGGTACCTTCTTATGCCTCCCTCCGAATCATACAACTCTTGTTTGAAATATTTTTCCGTATCTACCATAATTTTCGAGAAATCTTAATGTATTATTTAAAATGGGACATCCTATATAATAGGATAATAGAATTTTAATAAATTATTTTTTTATAAATTAAATATATTAGAAATAAAAAGAATTGAATTTTATGAATCTTTTAAATGAGTGTAAAGAAATTATATACCATATATAGAAAAACAAAACCTTAACGTTAAAATAAAAAATAATATATATCAGTCGCATTTTATATTTTAAAAGTTAAAGTAGCGAGTGTTAATAAGAAAGAGCAGAAGTTCATTTTTCATCAAAAGAAATGCTTGTATTAAAATGCTTTTAAAATCAAACTCGCTAAATCCTATGTGTTTTATTAAAATAATATATATAGAGTATTTTTAAGAACACAGTGTCTTTGTACGACGGATCGTTTCGATACGAGTTTCCTCGCAAAACAGGCGGATCGCCGCGAATAAAACAGGGAAGAACATTTTTTTGTTAATTGAACTTTGGAGGTGAGATCGACTATAGTCCTATAGTTCCTACAGGAATGAGAAGAGATCCGACTTAAAGATAGCTAGTGTCTTCGCCTTTCGACTCTATTTCTCGTTGACATCGTCATGTTTCGTGTATTGGTAATAGCGCAAAGTGCTCTTCTCGAAGTAATAGCAGCCCGAAGACGACCC